ATTTTGCCCGAACCATTCTAAGATCGAATTCAAGGATTGGAATTTGATCACGTACTAGATATCGATTACTCATAGGAACGGGTAGATATCTGTTTACGTCAGTTATAATTATACCTTCGCAGTCCACAGTGTATTAATTACGGAATTATGTGCATAACACATCCTATATCTGTCTTATTTTGGTAATTTTATTATGCTCTTAGACCTTTAGGGTGTGTTTTGTGAATCGAAATTACAATTAGAATTAAGGAATACAAATTCAACCAAAAGGGAATTCCTAAAATTTAGGAGGATTGTAATCCACACTTTTATGTAATATTTCTTTATCTTTCACAATTATAATTCACTCCTTTTTTAAATCTATACTAAATATTACAGCAATGAGTTGCTATCTATAAAATATCGCTATATAATAAGTCGTTGTTGGTCGTGAGTTCCGGTACTGTCCATTTTCGTATGTCATTTATTTAATACAAACAAACTCCGAGATTCATATTTCTAGGTAATTTGCCACTTAGAGACGGTGTAGACTTAGAGAGCGGAAGGCTAAACATCGCGATGAGACCTATAGGAGCGAAAAAACAGAGGGGAATGTGGAAAAAGCGGGGAAATCATCCTTGTGAGTTTTCCTTGCGTACGCTACGAAAACGGTTCTAAATATCCAAAAATATGTACAAAATTCGTCCTTACATCTAAAAAAAAATCCGCCACAGTATATTTCTTAAGATTAACTTGCACGAACGAAGGGACGCGGGCGACGTCGTCGGTAACAGCTAGAATTTACAAATGGTACGCGGACAAAGTCTTTGACACAGCTAGAGTTTTATAAAACAAATGTACTCTATAAAAAGCAATGTACATACAGCTTAATTAATCGAACCGGTCGGTTTATTTTATTTGCGCAGAGTCACCAATTACATCTAATTGGCATTTCCCATACCGAGTAAAAATAGCCGGCGCTTAATTAGAAGCACGAAATAATTTGTGAAATCGCTATCGTGGTTAGTGGCGCGTTTAACCTCCTTGTTAAAGATTAATCTTCCCACTTTCATAATTAACCATGTCTAAACGTAAGATACTCTTATTAGTGTCATAGTGGAAAACGGCGAACCCCATTAATAATCGTTCTAGTCATACCGTCTAATAAATGCCTACGATTCTCAGCCACATAATTAAAGACCGACAAGCATAAGGAATTAATTCGAGGTGCCGGAGAAGCCTTAGTAACGATGATGTTGAGAAAATGATAAGCTGTCACATTTGTCCGTCTGGTCTAAATTTCTACTGTCCTAGTAATAACAAAATGTGTGAATAAGTATTTTTATGATAGAGTGGGTGAAATATCCCGTCTAAATAAGATGTGCTGTCGGCTTTAAAAATCCACAGACTAAAACCGAAACGCGATTAAACTTACAGCTTTTTCATATAAAGACGGTGGTTTGTGACCGCGACTGAATATCGATATTCCTTTGTTGTCCTTGTCAATTGAAGTAAAAGAGTAGAGTTAATATCTACATTTAGAAGTAAATGAATATTACAAATAAACAAAAACTACAAGAAATAACTTCTTCAAGAAATACTTCAACTACTTCAAGAAATAAAATGATCTTACATTTTATTTCTTGAATGACCCGTCAATGGGCTACGAATTTTTAAAATAGAAAATATATTTTTTATTCATCTAAACATTTGTATTTCAAGCGTTATTATAAACAACGCTTCAAATATAAATGTTTAGATTTTTTTTTACTTTGCTATTTTATTATGTACCTTATGCGGTTCAAAAACAGTTATTTCTAGTAATACATAGCTATATACTAACAACAGGCCAAATAAACCAAAACGACACTCACACGACAGACCGTATAAGTAACAAGTTAACGTGAGTTTTAACTATCTATTGTTCGTATCGATAGGCACCTGTACGAATTGTGAATATTAATAGTATTACCCCAGAGACCTCATACTTTTAAGGCGTTGAAGGCAATTCATATCGCTTGTGACATATCTAACTCAAGGTTGCGTAGATTCTATTGGGAGATCGTTTATCATCGAGAAAATATTAACATTATAAACAAATAAATAAATAATATAAACCAAAAGAAAAATAGTAACTACCTCATGTTTTAAGAATATAATAAAACTAAAAATATCAAGAAAAGCCGCGTAAACTTGCATTTTGGTTAAGTGACAGTACTTGTCGTAATTAATATAGCAACAATAATATACATAACAAATAAATGCCTTAAAATTAAATAGTTACAAATTTTAATATTGCGTTCCAATTCAAACATACTTCTACTTGTTTTTCAGTTCCAGTGAATGTGAAAAGGCCGTACGGGCGCTGTAAATCACATCACCTTTTGTGGAGCGATGACGACCGCCACCGGATGATCTCTACCGGCTGCGGTGCGACTTTTTAAATTTATTCTTTGAATAGTATTGTAGGCTAAAAACAACTCATTATATGACAAAAATACGTACATTTTGGATACAACTTTATGTGTTGTTAATCTAACTGCAACTGTCTGAGACATATATTTAGACGGCCTCCGAAGCTTAATAGTTACCACGAGGGGCCTTGTTCGAATCTTGGGAAAATATAAAATCGTTTCGTCAACTACTCGCGCGTAATCGAAGTCGACCAGTCAAATAGACAGACAAATGTCCTCATCAGACTTAACAATTAGTGTTATTGATAAGTAACTAAGTCATAATATAATAAATTTATTATGAATAGTAAAAAATAAGTATTACTGTAAAGCGTTACGTAACGAAACGGTTTACCCTGTCATAAGAAAATAGTAAGTATGCAGTGTCTGCTTTTCTCTGTAGTTGCAGAATTTCAGCACTCAGAAATACAAAATATTAAAAGAATCTTAATCAACCTGTCAATTGTAACAATTTAAGAATAGTTAAGACGAATGAGATTAAAATTCCAATCGCCGATTCAATACTGTGACCCTAAAATATAATCCAATGTTTAATCAATATATCGTATTGTATGACATGTCTATCGTATAGCTACGTGTGGTGTGACACTTGTATCGGATAAAGGATCGTAGAGTTAATCCTATATTCATAAACCTCGTTCTTAATGCTGTTCCACTCATTGCGTCTGTATTTGATAAAATAATATGAAATTATTTTAAAAGTGATTGAAAGAAATAAAAAGTGTCACAGAGTACAATATACACATGTGTATATTTATAATATACTTAAATGTTTATTTATGATATGGATTTTATTTAGATACATTTTTTTTCGATTTAAACCGTTAAAAGTGTTTGAATTAAACACAAAAGGTACGTGCTGTACCTGACTGATTACTTTATATTTCCTCGGTATGAATCTCCGAATTTTTGTCCCTTACGCGGCGTTTACAACTGGGCCATAAAGGAAACTTAACAGTATATAATACAGAATATATAATATAACGCTGACGTCACACCCGAAGTATAGATTGAATATTAAACAGCCCTTGCCAATCAGCATAATTCGAATATAATCAATAAACATACACAACCAACCTTGTGAATATAGGTCTCTCGCATAACGCCTACCAAATTGACCGCACGCATCAAATATGCAGTCAACAATGCGCCTAGGCATTGGCACACATCGTAATCACATCGTAACTAATTATCGTCAACAGCAATAACGACTGAAGGGAACATACAAAGAACAGCTGTACCACATTCTTGCACATCACTGCTTGGTTATCTCTATCGACTATTGCGTATTACTTCTAATCTCACGGTGTAACGCTCTGAATCAATTCTGATGAGTTAAACCATCTGTCTATTTCACTAATATCGTTAGGGATAAAGATGTCACAAAAAATCTGGCATTCAAGGATTTGCACATGATGGCACAATCTGTACTAATATTATAAGCGGAAGAGTTTGTTACAACACGCTAATCTCAGGAATTTGTGATTCAAACTGTTTTTTTTTTGTTGAGTTGGTTAAAGCATGTATCGTGGAAAGCTATAGACTATAAAACATCACGCTGCGATCAATAGCAGCCAATAAACAGTGGGAAATGTGGGAAGAACAGGGAAAATTATCTTTAAGGAGTTTCCTTGGTCTGCCCTGTGTAAACAGTTCAGGATATTTAAAAAAATGTTTATGAAAGAATAATTCCTTTTTAAATGTTTTAAAAAATAGTATGGCCACCTTTTTTTTCAGATTAACTTGTAAGAACGACGGGACGGGACGCGGATGACGTCGTGGGTAATAGCTATATTTTTATAAAGCTGAGGAGGTCGTTTGGAAAAATATATACAATATGATGCCGAAAATATGTTTATCGCGTGGACTAAGTCGCGGGTACAGCTATTGGAAAAAGCACCGATAAAAGATCGTTAAAACGCATTGTTTTCACACAAACCAATCTGCAACTGGGTGTTTCTAGATAAAAAAAAATCTCGTAAATAACTCAATTATTCAAATTCAGACTGACACTCCGGAATTGACCGAGCGAAAATCGGATCGTGCGTAGCGTAGCAGTGCGCTCGATTACAGTCAAAGGATACGGCACTCGGTACAATATGCAGTCACAGAATATTTAACGAAACAGAAGGCAATGCGCGCGATATTGAGACCGTTGCGACTTCTCCAAATTGGAGCGGTTAGATAACAAACGAATCGGTCCGTTGCTCGTTTTTTTTTTAACTTTTTAAAAAATATTTTTTTTACAACTAAGAAGTTAATATATAACAGTTAAAAAGTCAATTAGAAAGGCAACGTTATAATATACATCGCCAATTCTGTAAATGATAAGTCACTCAGCCTGAGTAATATAGAAAGGATAGAGTCTTATACATCAATGCTGATTTTCAGTGCTTACTCGGATTTGAACGATTTGGGGTTTACGCTAGTGTATTTTACCCCAAAATATGTACCATAATGATAGTTCTGACGAGTATAAAGAGCGGAAGGCAAGTATTTTGAACGGAGTACTGCGTACAATGTAATGGAACGCTCCTTCTGGTTAGTTCAGTATTCTGTGTATACATGACCCAATGCTGCCAGTTTAATATTCAAGTGTCGCCCGTCCGAGGCGCACGCCTGCTGTAATAAAAGCACGCTTCGACGCTTAACGAGCTCTACCGATGAGTTCCTTCGTATTTCAAACAAGGCGACCCCGTACGTGACCGCTCCGGCGATCTTAATTTCAACACTAACTGCGAGATTGCGAGTTATGATCCTCGCTAATTCCACTGTCAAAGTGACGTCATCGCTATAAACCTCCATTACCGCAGCGTGTACATTACACCATCATTCTCCTATGCGTCTTATTAATATTTCAATTATAATTCTTCTACTGGCTTGGCTGCAATCAGATTTGAAATAATATAAGCAATCAGTAACGAATTCTAAGCTCATTAAACTTAATTAAAATCCAGTAAATGAAATAACTGGCACGTAGTTCGGCGCATGATCTAATTAAAAATATTTTACATTCACAATAAAGCACGACAAGCGTTTGTTCTCTTTTGATTTATTGTATTGAAATTTTCTTCCAACAAATCATTATTGTGTCAAGTTTCTTTGAAAGTTCTTTAATTAAAATCACAGGATTATTAATTGACGGCGAGCAAGTCTTCGCGTGACAAGCATTCCGAATTATCCAGTTTTACGATTCTAATTATGCCAACAATAGAGCTAATTCCGTCTGAAGTACGGTCTCGTGAGTTATTGCTATATCTCGAGTCTGCTAATTCACGGACAGTGTAAGGGAAGTGAGAGAACAGCGAGAGGCAAGTGACACACGACTCGAAGGCAAAAAGGTATTAAATACTACATAGTTAATTTTATAGCATTTTCTTTTTATCATAGAGAAAACTGCCACATTCACTTGATGGCCCCGCCACAACTTTGGATCATCGATGGAAACTATTAAATTTAAATTGACAAGATACATGTTGGACCCGGTTGGGATAATACCCACGATTCGTTATATTCGTTGATATTAGACCAATGACGTTGTTCTTGAGCGTTGTTGTCAAATGATAAGGCAAGGAAAACAATTGAGAAGCTATTATAAGTCCCAGAATCTGGGCCCAGATTTCTCAAGAGAAACTAGTGGATACGACGGAAAATGGATACCTCTGAGCAGTTTCCAAGTTAAACTCCAAGACTGCGAAGAAACTTATCAGCAATCGAGGGGCCATTGATTGTGCACAAAGAGCCTTTCGTCTCGCGACATTCGAGTTCGATTTTCCACTCACAATGCAGGCTTCGTTTTTCGTATTGCATTCCGTATTATAGTTCCGCGGCTCATTCGGTTTCAATTATCGTTGCTTAAACTCTTGATAATCTTAAACTCGTTATTTTTCGTTTATTAGATCAGTAATAACTAGTCACATTCATGTGAACAAATTTACTACATATATATGAATGCAACCGTACTGCAATGCAAGTCTTATTAATGGATGGATGTAAGCACGTTTGGTACCTTTTAATGCAAAAATATGGACAATAATAGCTTATATACCTAAAAACAGATAGGTATGTATGTTTAAAAGATTGACTTCGTATAAGCTAAGATCAAGATACGCACGTCATCTCCCGATGTCATGTACTCGTGATGGTGAAACGCCGGGAACCATTTTTCAAATACAACAGCGCAATAGGGCTCGATAAAAATACAAATTACAGTAGATATAAAAATACTAAGGCTTTGCTAACAAAAACTATTAATCAAAATTCACGAATTTTTCGCGTCTCCGGTGACAAATATCAGTGAATTATATAGTTCAAATTCATAAAGCTTTAGAACCACTTTGGCATCAGGCCAAGCCTGCACAATGCACAATAAATACCTACTTCTAAGGCTATTCTTAATTACTTCACTCTCATTACGAAAATTCTAGCACATACTAACGCACTGAGTTAACAGTGCGTCAATATACAACATTGTATAGTCGTAGTAGTTCGTTACTAATTAATTAAAAATAACTTTTTAATTTTATTAAGTTTGGTACTTAAAGTAAAATGTGCAATGACGCGGCGATATTTTCGTTCGTACACTTATATTGCACTCTTATATGACTATGTTACAGAATACAGATTTCGAAATCATCAAATAAAATGGACAACTTGTTTTTAAAACATACAGACCTAATATTGTTCCTTAATCAAATGGATGTTAATAGTTATAATAACTCAAGACAGTCTTTACTTATACTTCCTGTCTTTTTCTATAAATACAATTTCTTTGTCACTTACATGTTGATTTATTGGTCATAAATAGGTTAGTTGATTTTAGAAATTTACTTTGGAGATCAATGTAAGTATCGTTGTTTAGCGGAAGTTTTAAATAAACTTCAGTTCAAAAGAGACAAGACAATTTTACGCTATTCTACGCCTATTAGCACATTGTTCAATGTCATATTATGACATTGAACAACAATATGAGGTAATTATTATAGGCAATCGTAGTAGGGAAAATGGATAACGTGTTTTGACGTTTTGCATTTCCTCAGGCTTTAAATACTAAATTTGAATATAACCCAGATAAGTCTACGACCGGAAACAGAAGGATTGTAACAAGTTGCATTGTCTATGAATAAAAAATTATCAATTCAAAAATATGCCTTAAATTTTATGAAGGTTGTTTGATTGTATTTAGTAAGTAAGTAACGACTTTATTGTTTTCCAGATATAAACTCTGATTTAAACGTTAAAAATCTTCGTTAAATATATTTTGCAACTTGTCTTTCTTAATAGCAGGTGGATTTATATCATGACTACATTAATTTGAATAATTCGCGTCCGCACTGTTGAATACTTCTTTCCGTGGGAATATGACTTTTAATTCACTGTCCGTTTTAATGAGGACAACATTTTATTTACTGTTCGCAAACAATTTAATTTCGCAAAATTTTTGTTCCAACAACATTTTATTTTAGACTATTTTGAAATTAGAAAAAAATACTACAGATTTAAGTTACTATTAGCACGAACTTAGTCATTAAAATAGGTTAGTGGATACCAGCAATAAGTAAGCTTTTGAGAATATGAAGTTCACAACAGGTACGAAGGCATAAACGAAACATCACTCAAGCGTTACCTAAAAATTGTTCAAAAGCCGCAACAGGCTCGTCAAAAAGCCAAAATCGACCAACAAATTCAATTAAAACTTCTTCACGAGTAACCCAAACCGACGAACGTTAGATGGAGCTCGATTAATTATTACAAAGGAACCTCTTTACAACGTCAGACAAACAAGATTCGAACTAGACAAAAGCCGGAACGTAAACGGCAATCGTTCATTCAGGCTGAAGCCTGCAAAACTATCTTTCCTTTTTCTGCTTTTATCTGGAACGAGGCCGTCTCTGTCGCGCGGCGAGGGGAAATGCGGGAGCTATTTGTTTTTACAGTCGAGCGCCGACGAACAAATTAGGTGGACAAACTGTTGAAGCGGTCGAGGTGTCTATATTCCACTCGACGTGAATTCTCTTAAAACGCTTTAGCGAGCGTCTCTCGTGAGCTAATAATTTCCTCCGCTTTCAATAGAAACATTCGCTTCACGTGGGTATTATTTAAATTCTATTGTCAACGAGGAGGGTATTATGAATGAGATGGGTTATTTTAGTCTCTCGATTCTTCAGGGTCCACTAATATTAGCCTGTGCAAGTACTATAGCAGAGCAATATTTATATAAAAACTTTCCATGTAAATTTAATATTCATTGCAGAAAATTTTGAGAGTAGAACGTAAATATAAAAAACAGGGTAGATAGAGAATTTATAAAATTCTATGTATCCGTGTTACTAGTTATCTCCAAAATTGACTTACATCCTTCATTAAAATAAGCAGCCAATAAAAAAAGGACCTACATTAATACGTAAAATGTACTTCATTATTATTATTGGTTAATTTAAAATTAGCTTTTGTATAAGTCACTTTGCTAAAACGAGTAGAGATGAGATAGATTCACTTACATATACTTATCATTAGTAAATATACTCTATCGAAATTCATAGTAAAAAATCATATATTGTGACTAAGTGGGTAATAATTACTAACGATGAACAATGTAGACGGAAAGGTTTCAGGAAATCTTACAAGTGTACGTACATTTATGCTCGCCCACTGTCACAGAAAGTAAATACAATGAATAATATCTGTAAAATCCTATAGAATACAGAATAGAAGCTTTTTAACAGAAAATAGTAGAAGCTTAATACGTTTTAAATACTGTCTATCGTTGGACGCGAGTAGTACACATTTAAGTAAAACACTTTAACGGTTTAAAACGCGATATATTAGTTAAACTTATTTAAAAATGATTTTTAACTTCGGCCCGACGTTTCGAATGCTTTGCAGCAGCCGTTGTCACTGTCACGGTTTAACTAATATACCGCGTTTTAAACCGTTAAAGTGTTTTATTTAAATTAATACGTTTTGTTATAAAAATGCTTACATAAATTAATATGATGTAAAATCAACCTTAAAATAAAGACATAAGACATAGTTTACTGTTGAGATAGTTCGATTAACATACGCGCAAGTAGATATCTATAAATTAGTAATTAATCGCATTTAGTGCTATAAATTGGCGTTGGACAGACGCAAATGACTTCCTTTTACTTTTAATAGATACTAGGCTATTTTCCCTTTCTATGAAGAATTTCAAGTAAAAAACTGGACTAGCGTTACTAGTTACTCGTGTATCGCAATAGGTAGAACGGTTTAGTTACCTGTTTATTTATATGGCAGTATGCGTTCACAAACTCGTTATTACGGTTAATAAATATTACATATCTTGCATGGATACGGAAATTACATAAACAGACACAAAGCGTATTACAACGACCTAGTGTTGTACTAGAGTTGATAGAATTATAACGAATTACAACGACGATAAGCGCTTTATTTATAGTGTTGTGTGAAAAATGAGTCTCATATCGTCATTGTATTAAAATGTAACACAGTATTATTAACCGAATAGTAAATACGAGAAACACTAAATCCGCAGTTTACGCGAGTTCTGCTAGTAAAAACAGAAACTTAACGGTTTGAATCGCGAAATATACTAGTTCGAGATCGTAGTACATATCTAAAATACGTTGTAAAAATTACTTATAAATTTTGTGTTTTAAATGTTTAATCTGTTTTTCTTGACATGGTACTACTATCAATAATATATAATCAAACCTTAGGTAATTTTTGGGTTACATATCTAAAAATAAAGTACCTACTGCCTAATTAATGTTCCTCGTCGTAACAAGGAAAGAAAAGTAGAT